GAAGCTAGGTTTAGCATAGCTTTAATTAATTATAGTAGGAACCACCTCCTTTAAAGTGCAACTCACCCCAAAGTCAACATTTCTGCAGATATGCTGCCTAAGACTTTTTATAAACTTTCCACATGACTAAAGCATTGCAGCCTATCAAATGCTGCCAAGGACTCTTCACAGCTGTTTCTGCGCTCTCACTGATGATTTGAAGGACTTTCTCCTCTAATTACCTCCACCAAGGAGGTCCTGTTTTAGGAGAGTTGTTGTCTTTCTGTGTAAAGGATAACTTTAAAAGTTATGGACATATTTTAATGAATTCTTTTTTACCAGAGGTGTCCCTGGTGCCAAGGAACAATCCATTAAAGTTTGGCAATGATCCAGATGAGAGGGTGAGAGAAAATCAATTTCCATTTTCATGACCAAGGAGGTTATGGAAAATGGGCTATCTCTGCACCACTCTGGTAGATAGCGCCATGGTGGAACCTTTTTGCTATGCGGCGCAGCGCCATCCCTGTAGATGAGGCAGTCACAGTAGAAGACTGACTGACTCAAACCCCAAAAAACACTGATACCAAAATTACTGATCGATCAATACCTTCTGATGAATATATACAGAATATATATAGCTTGGTAAAATATCGCAATTTATAGTGATAATCCAATATCGTGGTAATATCATATCATGACCCAAGTATCATGATACTTATCACAACATACATGCCAATACTCACCTCTACATCCAGATCATAATCTGGATACAGGAATTTTTTAAAAGATTCTCTAAGATTGTGAGATCGGGATATTTGGCGGAACAAGCAGTTCCCCACTAAACCAGAGGATGGCAGCAGAGACCACTGACAGCCTCACTATCAGACTCAAAAAAGGCTGCAGGTTTCTACTGAAGACAAAACAAGAAAAGGGAACGTTAGCAGGATCAGTTAAACCCTTATGAACGGATTTTATGGAAATTTTTTACCAAAGGTGAACCTCATGCCAACAGGAACAATTTATATTAATTTGGTAACGATCCAGATCATGTGTGGGTTTTAGCTTTAGGTGTAACTCACAACTTGGGGCAAAACATGCTGCTTGGCAGAGGTCTGTGCTCTCAGAAGGCTTTTCTAGTTTATAAAATTTCCGGTAATGTTACCCAAGTTTTACTCCTCTAAAAGTTTGTGTCTTGACTACTTGATTAGAAATAACATATTTAAGTGTCCAACTAGCTTTGCTGAAATTTAAAGAGGTTTAAAGTTAACTATACTTTTGGAAATCTTACTGTAGGAGGTCTGCTTGCGCTGTGGGGAGATTTAATTTTGCAAACTAAAATGTGTGCGCAGAGCTTTGTAATAAATCTTTAATCTGTAATCATGAAAGTCCCCCATTTTCATCTGAAATGTTGCTTTAGGCCCAGGTGTAAATTCTTTGGAATGGATCTTATTGAACCAGTACTCGAGGTGAGGGGGGATGACACCCCCTTCTTAAAAAAATAAATACAAATCTTAATCATCCCCAATATCATCCTCTCTGACATTTTATAATTGAATGTGTACATTTCGATTATATATTAACAGTAATGGCAATAATATTGCCCTTTTAACATTTGGCAGGCTGTGCGCTTACGAGTAGCCTGACCAAAATTTGGTGGCCCAGAGTGTGTGAATGTTTACAATCATGCAAGTTTCTCCACATAATCATACCTGTTGAATTTCATAAGTCTGGGACAATAAATGTGAAAATAAGGAGGGGAATGAATCTTTGGCAGGTTCTAAGTTTAACAAATAAAGCGTCAGAAATGATCTAGAATGGTGTTGATAGCAAAATTGGGAATTGGCACCCAGTGAGCAGAGACTATTCATCACTGTCTGTAGCACATCAACTGAAATGTGTCTCCATGCAAGAAAAATCCTATCAGTTCGAATCTATCTTTCCACCTAAACTATCAATTTTAAGGCATCAATGTGTAACAAATATGAAAACATTAAGAATATGTTTAAAAATTCCCTTTTTGTTCATATTTCAATGCGCTTTCTCATCAGTGGGTGTGAGTTTAGGGCGATGTGCGCTCCTGCGACAGCGGAGGTAATTCTCTGCACAACAGATGAAACCTGGAGGAGAGAATCGAAGCAGGGGCGGATTTAGGAAATTTGGTGAAAGACAGGCATGGGGCCCTCTGAATTGAGAAGACAACTCATTATACAGACCCATTATAGAGATACAGAAAGTTTAATAGAATAGACATACATTATTTACTAAATTTTGACTGCCGTTAATGATGTTTTATATTTTATATTATGTCTAGGAAAAAATAACAATTCAAGATATCTTTAATCACATTTCGGAGAGTCAAACTGCCTTCTGAGATATCTCAAAATGCGTCATCTGATCTGTCATTTAAAGTGTCACACATCCAGAATTATAATGAAGATATTCCAGTTAATTTGAACTACCTAGTCAAAACTATAATTTTTTTAATATCCCAATTCTGAAATATGCCCCCAGCGCTATCCCTGAGCTGCAATAGTGCTGGCTTTTCTAGACAAAGGTGTTTCAAAATGCCACAATGTAGAAAGAACTCAGCAGTATGGGATGTGTGGAGAACTACAACTTTGTGAACTTTTTCAGGAATCAGTCATGATTTGCCGCAGGGAAGGTGGTTGGAAGCTGGATATTCAAGCTGCGCTGAGTTAGCGGCACCTATCTTACCGTTGATCCACAGGAGCTCAGACTTCTGCTCAGACTATGTATACTTCCAAAAAAAAAAAAAAAAATCCACCATCCACTTCACTACTGTGTTGAACAGAATGTAAAGTAACATTACTTATACAAGAAAATAGTTTAATCTGCTTAAAATCCTCTTTTAACATAGTAAACTAGATAATTTTCTCCATCTGCCAAAAATACAAAAATTCAGTTGAAGCTTTTTGGTGGCCAAATCTTTGGTGCATCCCTAGTTATAACATTATTATTAATAGATATCCATATGTGCGCTTAAAGGGAATTAGCGCTAATGCAACCACTTAGTAGGTCCTTTTATTTACGTGCTGTTTTCAGCCTTTTGAGTTGAAGATATTTAAAATTAATGGGTAAGAAGATTCTGATAAGATTGTTTTGGTCTCTTTTTTTTTTTTTGGGGGGGGGGGGGGGGGGGGGTGAAGGAAAAAACATTGATTTAAATCCAAACCTAAAACCTTTAAATGCGGAGGTTACACTCAAATGTGTCAAAACTCTTGACGATATAACAGATTTATATTGTTTTTAGATCCCTAAGAAAACGCCGGCATCCTCAGCTGCTCCCATCAAGTTTATCATTACAAAGACGGTAAACAGCAAAGGTCTGAGTCCGCAGACGTCAGTAACTCCTGTTATCCCAGGTGAGGTTCTTTCTTTAGCTCCCAGTTGGTAGGGTCCTAGTTTTTTATTGCCTAATTGAACCTGTGCACTATGCTTCCAGGACGCGTCATGACACAAACCCAGGCGATGTCGCCAAAAACAATTACTCTGTCTGAGTCCCACAACACTACGATACAGAGCTTTCCTGGCAAAAAGATCGCAATTTCGCCTCTCAAGAGCCCCAGCAAGGTGAGTAAAGCCAGGCATACACTGTGCGATTTTTATTTTTATTTTTTTCTTCCGTCGTTGCTCACAGCTACAACATCCACTGTACGACAAATCCCCAGGGTTACGTCGTAAAGTGTGAGTTCAAAGCTCACATTGTATGTTCTCACACTGTACGTCTAAAAACCACGTTGGCCTCAGCTTGGCAGTGAGATGGCGCTACTCGGACTCATCTATCCGGAAGCCAAATGAGTAGAAGCTCACCATAGAGAAATGTGTTGCCTTTGCAATTTGTGCAATTTTGTGTGCTGAAAACCCTAAAAAAGAAAAGTCGACAACGTATTTTGACAAAGACATGGCTGAGCAAACGTGGCTACTATGGTCTGTCAATTTTACAGAAAGAACTCCATTTCACACACACTAGGGGTGTAAATCACATCCATCATGGTGATTCGATTCAGTATCGATTTCCTGACCCAACGATTCGATTATTTTCGATA